CTTGATTATTTAAAGACCGCAATCATATAGCTGGAATATTGCTGAGTGCGGCATTAAACAACAAATAAACAAACAAACAAACTTGGTAGGATGAGATGGTTATGTACCTGTTAACCTTCCATCACCTCACAGGCGACATGGATTGTATACTCCCCAGGGAGCTGAGGGTTAACAATGGTGCACTTTTAGAATGATATCAGGAATAAGTGCATGCAAAGCTTGCTGGGACTATTATTACAAGAGGACTCCGGCTGCTCCGCCATGCTCCAGTTCCGGCTGAACAGATAACAGTTAATGCCAGTGTGTCAAGTGATACATTCCCCTACTGGCACAACATCTTGCCGCTTGTATGCCGATCATCAAGCACCAGGCCACAGGGAGTGTCTGGCAATGGGATAACTGATAATGGTAAATAGGATGGCGCCAAGATCAAAGACACCAACAGTTTTAATATTGAAATGACCATGAACACTTTTTCACACATCACAATTGACCTTACCTTATAGAGGGTGGCAGGAATAGGGTTGAGTATTGGGGCTGTTTTCACTGCTGCGATTGTATTGCAATAGCATTATAATAGTACTGAACCAACTGTAATAAGGTTTGTTTCAGCTGTAGCTGAATAAATATCTAGTCTCCATACAAAATTCCACGCTCCTGCCCCCTGTCCCAAATTTTAGATGGCCAATCCCACTCATTAACTGTGAAGCAATCATTGTACCCTAGTTTGACTGTGAAGCAATGTTTGCATCCTAGTTTGACTGTGAACCAATCATTGTATCCTAGTTTGACTGTTAACCAATCATTGTATCTCAGTTTGACTGTTAACCAATCATTGCATCCTAGTTTGACTGTGAACCAATCAATGTATCCTAGTTTGACTGTGAAGCAATCATCGTATCCTGGCCTGACTGTGCACCAATCATTGTACCCTAGTTTGACAGTGAATCAATCATTGTATCCTAGTTTGACTGTGAAACAATCATCGTATCCTGGTTTGACTGTGCACCAATCATGGTATCCTAGTTTGACTGTTAACCAATCATTGTATCCTAGTTTGACTGTGAAGCAATCATCGTATCCTGGTTTGACTGTTAACCAATCATTGTACTCTAGTTTGAAAAAAAGAAATGGCCTGCCACAAAAAAAAAAAATTGAAGCAAGGTGTTTTTCTTCAAAAAATATTCAGCCTATAAAAATCTGGTTTTGTAGCTATAGATGAAAAAGTATCTAATCTTGATACAAAACCCCAGGCAGCCTTCAGCAATATTCCAGCCAACTGCTTCCGGGGGACACCAGGGATGGGCTTCACACATTGTACCAGGTGGGAAAATGAAACCAGGCCTTGGGCGTTGGGCTGGTGGGGTGCAAAATGCACAATAATCAGTTTTCATAACAATTTTTTTTAGAGTGAGTGAGTGAGTTGGGTTTAACACGCTTTTAACAGTATTCCAGTTATATCACGTGTCAGCATGTCAGCTTAATGTGGGAGGAAAGCCCAAAGTGATGCAGGTCTCAGACGTTTACCACTTCAGTGAAACCCACGAGTACGGGTATGGTGCTGACAAACCTAGAAACATAATCGGGGCGACCCGGGATTCGAACCCACAATCATAGGTTTCTGGCATGCGCAAGGGATGCAACTCTGCACAGCGAATCGCAGCGCCTTAGACGACTGGGTCACCCGTGCCCCCAATTTGTTTTAGAATCCAAACCCATGATCATAGGTTTCTGGCATGCCCAAGGGATGCAACTCTGCACAGCACATCGCAGCACCTTAGACGACTGGGTCACCCGTGCCCCCAATTTTTTTAGAATCCAAACCCATGATCATAGGTTTCTTGTAATTCTGAGTCTACCAACGCCCTTTTGGTATGCAGGATTTGGGGGTATGCAGTGTTGTGTGCGGGACGCAAATAAAATCATGTTTGATACTCAGATTCATCATTGAAAAACAGTTAATATTTTTTTATTTTTTCAGTGATTTAACTTCAAACTGCAACTTTTCTCAGTGCTTTCAAAATTTACATTAAGTTGTGTTCATGATTCAGGTGTGATCAATGAGAGTGACAAATAAGATGGTATGTGGGATTCCGGAGAGGAGGGGCTTGGCACCAGTCTGGGGTAGGATAGAGGGCTACAGAAACCAGTATCCTGATCCATTAACAACACATTATGACAAGCAGAGGTTGCTGGGGACACATTCTAACCAAGAATCCTCATGGGAAGTTATGGAGGCAGAACATCAGTACAGGTGTACTTGTTGTCATTGTACCATACTGGCCAAATTAGAAGCATCTGTGACATTTAAGGAGAGGCTGACTATCTCTACACACAAGGTCACCACCATGTTTTCCCTGAGATTCTGTCTGTTCTGAGTTTCTAAACATGAAAATAATTTGGATTTACCACACACTGAATTGAGTATTCACCACAACAAAGATCAGAAACACTTTCTGCCACCTTCAACAAAATAAAAAATAAGAGAGAGGGACCCTAAACTTTCATCAAGATATATTGCAGGGAATAACCCCATGAGATTTTAATATAAACCCTTGTGATCTAGATGTAAGCCCAGCGGTTAGGATGTACTCAATTACTTTTAGAACACTTAATGCTATGTCAAAGCAAAAAAGGAACCAAGGTGCAATGTTTCTTAGACACCCCCTTATAAAGGTCCATTAACATAAGCCCATATAAGGCAAGGCTATCCTAGATATAAGCCCAGGAAGACTTTGACATAAGCCCAAGAGATCCTAAATCTAAGTCCATGAGCTCCTACATATAAGCCCAGGAAAGCCCAGATATAAGCCCAGAAGATTTCTGTATATGCCATGTATATACTAGATATAAACCAAGGATGTCGCAGATATAAGCACACCAGATTCTTGATATGAGCCCAGGAAAATCCTAGATATAGGCCCACTAGACCCTAGATAGAAGCCATGTCCATCCTAGAAATAAGCCTAGTAAATTCTACATATATGCGCACTAGATCTTAGACAGAGGCCTAGGAGATCCTAGATAGAGGTCCAGTAGATTCTAGATATCAGCCCATGAAATCTAAATATCAGCCAAAAGATTCTTGTCATAAGCCCAGTAGATCCTAGATAGAGGCCCAGGATACCCTAGATAGAGGCCTAGGAGGTGCTAGATAGAAGTCCATTATTGATATCAGCCCATAAGACTCTTGACATAATCCCAGGAGATCTTAGATATCAGCCTAGGAGATCCTAGCTATAAGCCAAGTAGAGCATAGATATAAACCCAGTAGATCCTAGACATCAGCCCAAGAGATCATAGATATAAACCCAGTAGATCCTAGATATCAGCTCAGTAGCGCATAGATATAAACCCAGGAGATCCTAGACATCAGCCCAGGAGATCCTAGATATCAGCCTAGGAGATCCTAGACATCAGCCCAGGGGATCTTAGATATAAACCCAGTAGATCCTAGACATCAGCCCAAGAGATCATAGATATAAACCCAGTAGATCCTAGATATCAGCCCAGGAGATCCTAGATATCAGCCTAGGAGATCTTAGATATCAGCCTAGGAGATCCTAGCTATAAGCCAAGTAGAGCATAGATATAAACCCAGTAGATCCTAGACATCAGCCCAAGACATCATAGATATAAACCCAGTAGATCCTAGATATCAGCCTAGGAGATCTTAGATATCAGTCTAGGGGATCCTAGCTATAAGCCAAGTAGAGCATATATACAAATCCAGTAGATCCTAGACATCAGCCCAAGAGATCATAGATATAAACCCAGTAGATCCTAGATATCAGCCCAGGAGATCTTAGATATCAGCCCAGGAGATCCTAGCTGTAAACCAAGTAGAGCATTGAGATAAATCCAGTAGATCCTAGATATCAGCCCAAGAGATCATAGCTATAAACCCAGTAGATCCTAGATATCAGCCCAGGAGATCATAGATATAAACCCAGTAGATCCTAGACATCAACCCAAGAGATCATAGCTATAAACCCAGTAGATCCTAGATATCAGCCTAGGAGATCTTAGATATCAGTCTAGGAGATCCTAGCTATGAGCCCATGGTCTCCTAGATATATTTTGAGGATCTTATCAACTCAACTGAAGGGTTTGAGATGTGAAATCAAAAGGCTTCTATTATGACACTGTCAATGAATTCACAACCATTACACATCAACTCAAAGGCTGTTTGTCTGTCTATGACCTCTTCATTCATGCGGTATGTGCTGAATACCATCATAACATAGCACTAGACCAAAGCAGTCTCCACTGTATTACAATAACATGTAAATAATGTCTTACATTACTCAAACAAATAGAAATTGACTGAATGAAAAGTCTGTTTTCAGAGTAATTTTATGGGTTTGTTTTTTTTAATTTATATATTGTGACTGAAAACAGGGACTGCTTTCAGTCTAGATAGGCATAGTCTGGGAGTTAGATCTCAGGAACTCGTTATTGGTCAGTAAATAAAAACATATACACCCTATATGTAAGTGGAGAATTACATATAGGGGATATATAGTTTTATTTACTGACCAATAACGAGTTCCTGTGAGTGAGATATAGCACGTGTTAACTTTCAACATATTACAATGCACGTAGGAGTTAAAGTTCGGCTTTGGAAGTGTCACGACATATACTCAATAATAGTACAGTGTTGGTGCTTTTACCAAATACGCACACTCGACAGTAAGTCGACACTATAATGTAGTATACCCAGTACCTTCTGAAGTTCGTATTGTGTCAACAAAACAACTAGGATTCCATCAACACTATTTATCAACTGATTTGAACATAATAAGATTTCGTTACACACCCTTGTGTTGTGATCAACAGTATTAAACTTGAACACAAATTGCAGATTAACCTATATCGAAATATATACACATTGCTATAAATAGACTAAGACAGCACCAAAGACGGCTCAGCGCAATCGTCGCCACTTACTCACTCACCAACAAGTGGAACCGCAGTTAGATTTCAAATGTTTGACTTACCGTTTTCTTTGATAAGACTATTTGACACACTCTCGAAGGAACTTCCACTCAAAACGGTCGGGACAACAAGCCAGTGGTATGGCAGCGCGCCGAGAGAACGGCGCATATAACATCACATGCTCTAGGGTTCATACCACCCATATCACCTTCAGGAATTGCAACAGAGTTACCTCCCTTTATCGTTTCCAGAACTTCCAAACATTGTCTGGAGATGTTGCGGTTATTGATATTACTTTGAACGGAGACTATTTGCCCCATGCAAAGCCAAACTTAAATAACTTAAACAGAAACAACGTCAGAGTATTTGAAGAATTCTTACGCATATATATCCTTCTTTTGCATTCGACTGCGGTAAGCGTGTTCCTAGTGATTTGAAAAGTGGCTATTCAAGCTCCCTGGCATGTAAAAAACATAGTTGAAGGACCATCTGTAGAGATAACAAGCAATAAGACTTTCTTTGTTTGACAATATCTTAATAGCAGCAGCAGAAATTTTATTATATGCTCTGCTTGTAATGAAAAGTAAATGGAAAATACGGAACGCTGAAATTACACATGTTTTTTGCACAGATCACAATTTAATGAATCAGCCCTATAACCGCACTATACCTAATAATTTGGAAACGTGTGGAAACGGGCGAGTTACAGTTTTTAAAATGAACAATCTTTATTTTGACAAGATGTTAGAAAATAAAGAAAACAAATATATTAGAATTTCGCTGAAGTTAAATTCTTGATAATGAAGCGTCATGATAATCTCGCTTGGTATTGTATTGTGACGTCATTGTTCTGTGGTGTTATGACGTCAACGCATTATACGTTATGTATGGCATAAGTGCTCGCCTAATAAAGGGATTATTGATCAAAGGTTTTAGTTTTATCTGTATACTGCCCGAGAGTCTTGAATTCTGAAGGTAGGTCGAGGGTAGACTAACATCTAGTCTCTGAAATGAACATATCGTACATAAAAAAACAGTTGTTCAGTTATCTTAATAAAAATATAATAAAAAGGAGCCCAGTGACTCTCTTCATTTTCAGATACTGCAGTGATCTAGACTTGCCAAACATTATAGACTTGCATGGGCTGTATTTGATATTATATTTGTATCAGGGTCTGTAAGACAGACTAGGTCGAGGGTGGAAGTTCAGTTTTGGATTTTATTTCAAGATTTTATTTGAACTGTTTTCAAATGGTAAGTGCCCATCACCAACAGGGAAGATTACACATGTCACAAGTTTAACAGCGCCCTCTGCTATCCAAAACACCACGGTGGCGTCCAAATCAAACACGGGTTTTTGACTAATAATGATCACCTTCGTAAATGGCAAATAAAACATATATGTTTGGGAGGACACCTCAATTGACTCGTATGAGTTGCGTCCCTTGTGCGTGCTATGATCCTACGATCGTAGGTTCGAATGAAATACCCCCCTGATTACGACCCTTGGTGTGTCAGCACCATACCCGTGCTGGTGGGTGTCACCAGAAACGTAACCGTCTGAAGCCATCGTCACTTCTATATCGATTTTCCTCGACAATTGAGTTTACACACCGTGCTATACACTGGACCAACCATTTAAATTCTTTGGCAGCGAGGATTTCTTTTGTGGCATAATATTTGTTCAATCATCTCATCAAAACATACAATTTATTTGTTTCTCTGAAAACATCTAATCCAGTGAACGATTTATTTACATTAAAACAAATACCTTCCACAAATATAAATTCTTGTGCTTTCTTAATCAAAGCTGTATCAGAAAAGGACCCATGAACCGCAAACCATAAACGTGTTTTGAGCGCCTAAACGCATCTTTAAGATTGAAGTAAGACTGCACGTGCTTTTAGCGCACGTGCATCTCAGGGATATAAAAGAATAATTTCGGCCACGGTGATAGTGGCTCGGAGCGAATCATTTTAGTTACTCTGATATCAACTGTCATGGCACTACTTGCTGTAGCGTTGTTGGTGCTTGTCCAGGTAAGTCGTTCACTTTGTAATGTCGCCGTATGTTTTCTATATACCCAACACACACAGTTCCTTGTATGCCACAGAATCGTCAGTGGTCTGCAACGCCTTCTACAAGGACTTTAAGGGATCTAATTTGTTTGGTTAATTTTACTAAGTTTTAAAGTGGTTAATTAGGCCTGAGGTTTCAAACGTTAAATTTAGCGCGGTTAAATCTACAGTTAACCTAGATCTACATTGAAAGCAACGTATTTTTATATCCATTTCTACCAGGACTAAATATGACACGAACTGTTGGCAAATACAATGGGTTGTCGATCAGAATTTACGGAATCGCAGACAGCAGCCATAAAACAAAATATGGCGCTCTATATGCTCAAGCAGTTTGTTTACACGGTAATAATTCAGTCGAATTAATGACGACACTGAAAGTATCTATCACGGCAACCCAAGCTAACTTGAGGACACATTAAAAAAATCGAAGCAAGCCTTGCAAAGGTTTCGTTCTAAACCACATCGATCTTTGTGCCGCAAGAGATATGACGTCAGTCATATATAGAAAAAACGCCAAATAGCGAGCTGTTCTCAAAACTTGAAATATATATATCTTTGTATCGTGTTTTCTGCACGAAATGTATTGCCACACATCCCCCCTGAATGTAGTAACAGTAACATTGCATGTTGTAGCCTTTAATTAGGCATATTTATATCGTGTAATCTAATTTTGAGGTAAATTTAATTCGATATCCATGACGCCGGTTGTACATGAGTAAAATGCTACTACACTAAGCCATTGCTAGGAATAGCTTAAGGATGTTCCGCTTAACAAGGAAATTCGCCGATAGTACTTTCATCTGCAATGGGTACGTCAAAAACATGATACTGTTCAAATTGGTTTTGGCACTACTTTTCAAGATGGCGCGTCGATGTCGATCGGCGAAACAATTTAACAAATTTGAGGGATAACTGATAATTGAAGATTTCCTTGTGAAGAAAGTGGCAAGATTTGGCAAAGAAATCAAATTTACAACATTTCTCATTGTTAAATCAACATTTTAAACACAATATGAACTATATTGGTTTCAGTTCATTCTGTTTTAACATCTTACACCATGTCTTTTATTAGTATTACGAGGTTAACTCCCTTAATGAATTTGATAACACATGTTCATGTACTGTGTAAATGACTGCAGTAGCCTATTCAGTGCCACATAGGCACTTCCAACACTTACCCCCGCTTTTCTATAAATTAAAACAATACTGGACTAAAAAAAAAGTAGTTTAAACTTTATAAGCTCATGTTATGTCTAAAATGTGTATTTCTGTTGAGAATTTCAATTGTTTGCTTGAATGGTCAATCAAATGTTTGACGACCCACTTGTATGTGGGTTAAAATGAAATGGGGTATGGTTGATTGCCCCAGTTTACAATTGCCTTTATACCATTTTTTTGTGTCGAGTGGAATGATCCACTGTTGCAACACTGTGGGATGTAAGGATATATTAAAATGGAAAGCTCAATTATAAAACGGTTTACGCAAACGGCTTAAATCGGATGCAGATCGCACCTAGTTTCAGCAGCTCTCAAGATTTTTTGTTGACCATGAAGATCCGGGGTAGAAAATAAGTCTTTAGCAACCTTGCTGCAAGTGGTGACTATGCTTGTCGTTAAGAGGCGACTAACGGGATCGGGTGGTCAGGCTCGCTGACTTGACTGATGCATGTCGTCGTATCCCATTTGCATGGATTGATGCTCATGATATCGATCACTGGATTGTCTGGTCCAGACTCGATTATTTACAGACCGCCATCATATAGCTGGAATATTGCTTAGTGCGGCGTTAAACAACCAACCTTCTCATGGTAGACTCTGCCATCAAATTTGTCTTGGGATGCCTGCAGCTTAGCATAAGATTTTTCTAAAATAAAACGATTACGTTAATTATCTTCCACAAAACATGTGAACATGTGTATCTGTATACACGCAAAACCTAAATGATTTTAGATATCAGCAATTTATCATCGGTAAACTCTGGCCCATTTTTGAAACATTAAGTCTTGTGAGCCACATGACATAGACGTTTGGCATATGTTCCCCATAGAATGGCTTTTGGTGAACTGAAGTACATTACCATGCAGTCGACTTGTTGATGCATGTCTTTGTATCCCCAATTGTTTAGATCGATGGTCATGACGTCAATCACTGGAATGGCATCTTGAATTCAAAATTATTTTGGACTAAGCAAACTTGGCAAACTGTCGCATTTTCAAATCTTATTTTGAATGGAAAATATAAAGCTGGCCATATTTCACAAAGGGAACTGTACTGGCGCTTTAGTCGTCCCTCTAAAATACTTCTACGTGGTATTTAATCAAATGTATTACGCTTATTTTCTTAAATGAAACTGTGCGCCAAATTTTAAAATTTAAAAACATGTTGAGACGAGCATTATTTAAAACAAAGTCTCATTTGTTGTTCTGCCAGTGTCGATCTTAATTTCAGTTCTACACTTTTGGCTTTTAAATCTGTGAAAAGAGCTAAATTTGCAAGACGCCCAGCGCATTTCCCCACCGCCAGTATTTTCTTTAAAAATTGGCCCGTGAAAATCCGGGGGGTAGAATAGGTCTTCAGAACCCATGCTTGTCGTACAAGGCGACTATGCTTGCCATAAAAGGCGACTTACGGGATCGGGTGGTCAGGCTCGCTGACATGATTGATGCATGCCATCGTATCCCATTGCGTGGATCGATGCTCATGTCAATCACTGGATTGTCTGGTCCAGATTCGAATATTTTTGTTTTATACATTTTTCACCTTTTCCCTGTTACATGAGGATGGCCATCCAGGGCAATGGTCACCCTCACATTCTGAAGACAATGTATGTATACATTTGGGGAAAAATGAATACAAGTATTGGAAATGGTGCCAAGGCGATTTTTAGGAAATATAACAAAACGCACACAGTCAAGCATTCAAAATATTATTCAAACACTGATCCTGGCAAGAAACAAATATGAGAAAGAGATACATATGTTATTGCTGTTCTGCTTCTTCAAACAATATGTGATAAAAGATCCATGATTTATCAAATGTTGCTACATTACCATTTGTAAAGGCTATATTCTTAATTTTGTATCTCAAGCCAAACATCTTTTTGAAATATTGCGAAGCAAAGATTTGTTTTTTTGAATCTACAGAAATATATGAAAGATTTCGCTATTAAAATAAGACCAAAAACTGTCAGTAACAGATTCGAATATTTAATGATGGCCGTCATTTAGCTGGAATATTGGTGTGGCGTTAAACAAACAACTCTTTAAAATTTGTAAATTTGAAATGGTCACGACTCTTTATTTTTATTTTTATTTCAAAATGGATGTTGTTTTTTCAGGTGTACTTGAGCAGTGCAATTACCTTGAATGTAAAGGCTGCGCACCTGACGTGCTCGGGCAAGGTCCCTGTCCCCTCCAATCTGGTCATAGCCGACAAGCTACACCCTCTCCATGGAGCCCTTGTCCTGAGTCCTATCTGCACGGGAGGGAAAGACCGCTTCAGGGGTATGTACCCCCTTCCTTTCCACATGAGCGTCTGGTACACCGGCTCTCCCAGCTCCAGGTGCGTCTTAAAGAGCACGTCTTCTGGGTATTACATTCAGGTGGATGTGCTGGCTTATGGCAAATACTCGGTGGGCAAGTTGCTTTTGAGATGCCCTAAACCTCTTCGTCCAACCCCTCGCTTGACGGCACCATTACCTGCATATCCAGTAACGCCCATTTCTGACGTCAAGGATTACGTGTGGGTGCGTTGCGGCGTCGCTTCAAATGATGTCGAATTTATTCCCCAGAGCGTGAAGATTGTAGCGGCCATTGACTGCAAAGGAGTTCGCTTCACTTACGTCATAAAACCGAACACTCCTCTCGAGGTGCAGATTTTCCTTGCTGGTAAGTTGAATGAGAAATGCGTATACAACCCACCTGTTGCCAGGCGTAGGAGGGGTGCTGCCCCACCACCCCCGCCCCCAGTTCGATCAGTTGCCATTCATTTCTTCAAGCACAGAAACTTTGAGTACCTTGGAACCGGAAGGGTCGATTACTGCCCACCCATCACTGACGATTACATTTTGAAGGTCAAGCCCCACTGCGGTAGCTCCGTTGGCGCACCTGCATATGTGACGGGCGTTACTGACGTTGATGCCGACTTCCGGGCCATCTGTAAAAATGGAAGGAAATACGTTTTCGTCAACACTAACAAGGACAAGGTCAACTACAAGCTGAAGGTCAAGTACAGCGGAAATGCCAACACCCAGTGCGTCTTCAACAGGAGACAGAACTCCAACGTGTACGTCATCACTGTTCAGATTTCGTGGGGTAGGCGGGGTGTCGTGGTCCACAAGCACAATAGAGAATACCAGGTGAGCTTTACTCAATTTCAATGTCGCTATTGGCTGAATATTAACTCTGGAAGGTTACTATGTGGTTCTGGATTCAATGAAAATATTTCGCGGAACGATTTCATTATTCATAATCGTTAGTAAAGGACAATGGCCAATAGGACGCCCATATAACTGCATCCCTAAAGCATTTCAAAATCCAACATTATAGATGTATATATCAAGTTGGGTCCTGTGTATTAGGGATATATTTATGGATGTGTGCTCGGTCTTCACGGCAAGAAATATATCCAAACTATCCATGATATATATTTAAACATCTACGTATGACCTATATTATGTATAGGTCGTGTAGTAATTCCCTGTGGCCTTATGTACAGCATGCCCTACACGTATGCCCTACACTACATCTTGTATGTTTTCAGTAAGAGTAAATTATTGTAAAGGAGTCTTGTCGATACTTTTACATCGCGATAAATGCACAGGCAACATGTTGCCTAATCGGATTGTCGTTCCCTGTGCATGTTATGGCAAGAACTTATGGCTTAAATACGTGTACCTTAAAGCCGTAAGGTTTTCCACGATATATATTTATATATTACACAACTCGGAGAGGAAGGCAGTTTTAAGTGATTCTAATGTAATTCGGCCTAAACGATTAAGCACGGTAGTGATCCTGTATGAAATATCAAACATTGTCGTAAGAGGCGGCTAAATGTGTTCTGGTCGGGGCCACACCGACTTGTTGGATGTATCGTATGCTAATGTCCGTTACTAATTGCCTGTTCGAGACTAGCTTATTTAGATTGCAGGAATATTTCTGAGTGCGGCGAAATTCGGGGAAATGCTTTGTGTTTAATTTTATTTTTCCAATGTTGACGAATGTCGGCCAAGATAAATTCTTGCAATTTGTCTTTTCAGTTGTCGTGTGCTTTTGGTGCTAAAGGAAGTGACGAGTCGCCTACCCAACGTATCGAGGGTAATATCTTGGCGCCAAGAATTGTGGAGTCTTTCGTTGGCTCTGGTGCAAGGTCCTATGTCAAGCTTCATCTGATAGACGTTCTTGGCCGACAGGTGTACGCACTTCCCATTGGTCGAATGGTCCAGCTCCGCGCATGGTCAAATGGTCAAGGAAGTGAAGTTGGTGTGCGGTCTGTTGGTTGCGATGCTATTGGTGCGAGGACGAACACAAGATTCGCAATCATCCGAGCCGGTTGTGGAGATGGTGTGGTGTTTGCTAAAAATGAAGGTTTCTCTACTAAGGGACTGAACAGCACAAGTCCATACTTCAAAGCATTTTCATTGCACAACGATGCTAAAATTCGCTTCGAATGTAATTTCACAATGTGCACGAGCAATTGTGACGGCAACTCCTGTGCAATTGCAGGCCGGCGCCGGAGGGATGCAGACGTACACTTTTCGGATTTTATTATGACGGAGTCTGACCCCATAACCTTGCTTTAGTATACTTTTACAAAACTGTTGCAGCTTTTGTTTCAGCAAATACAATTGGTGGTTGGTTTAATAGTTTCGTTTGTCGTTTTTTTTTCTTAACGCTGGAATTCAAACTGACAGGCGCTCTGTAAATGGTCTGGACACATTATGAGCATTGATCCACGCAATTGGGATCAACCACATCGGCGAACCTGACCACCGGATCCCGTGAATCGCCGTTAATTGTCCTATTCCGGGACAAACCGAATGTCGGTTGCGGAAACATGCGAGTGGTGACGAATGGTGAGCAATCATTGCTTGAAGACCCCTCAGAACCCGCATGTTGTCTGAAGGTTCTATTGAGCCATCTGAACGATACGGCTTGAAAGACATAACGTGAAGTATGTATTCACGCAGGTTTCAGCTGTATGTAAATGTTTGAGATAGGTACACCCCGCGGATCTAGGATAAATGGAATTTCAAAAGTGTGAAAGTATCCTAGTATATCTACAGGAATGCTCTCCTGTTATAGCAGTTACACTCGATATGTTCCGACCAATGTCGGATAGTTACGTTAATACGACGTTGCTAAAGCTGTCGGCCTCCCACAGTTGGTTGTAAAACATTCATGGAATATAATGTCTGTCCTACCCCGGTCTGTTACAGCAAGTACTCGAATATTTACAGACCGTAATATGGTAGGAAATATTGCAGAGTGCAGCATTATACAAACATATGCATTCAACGGAAAATCAAGCTTTAAAAAAGCTCAAATGGGTAGCTTGCGAGACGGTAGATATGCTGTGATTAAGATTGATTTACTTGTGTGGTTAACGGCAATTATACATCTGTTACTTTCGAGCACGAAAGATTCGCAACCCAAAATTATGTCAATTGACATGAACATTTTTTTTACGACCGACGGGGCCACGGGTGACCCAGTCGTCTAAGGCGCCACGATTTCACTGTGCAGACTTACGTCTCTTGGGCACGTCGGAAACCTGATTGGGGGTTCGCCCCGATTATGTTTTTAGGTTTGTCAGCACCGTGCTCGTATGTTTCACCGAAGTGGTAAACGTCGGAGACCTGCATCACGTCGGGCTTTCCTCCCACATTAAGCTGACGCGCAGCAATATAACTGTAATACTGTTTAAAACGGTGTTAACCCCAACTCACTCACTCACGACCGACCCCTTGACCCAATAGGGCGCTACTCACTTTGACACTTGTCTTAAGTTCAAAGTCGAATGTAGACTGTCGCATGTTTCGCCACGTTTATTGCTGATGCTATGAACCTTAATGTGGCGTCGACTGCACTACAATAGTGGGTCAGTATAATATTCTGAACCGCAAAAGAAACGTCGCCATGGATAGATATGCGAGGAACCTTATTTGTACAAACACTAATATATATATATATATATATTATAAAAAATTAAAAAAATATACTTTGAGACATTAAAAAGATGAAACTTGGCAAAACTGATCATCAAATTAATGTGTCAAATGTTCTTAAAGTGAAACACATTTCTCTAAAATGGCATCACGAGTCAGTATCTTGTGTCCACATGTGCATTGATGACTGCCATGCAGCGTTGATACATGGAATGGATGAGGCAGTTGAAGGCCATAGGCACTTGAGCCGACAGTGAGAACGCCTGACGCAGTTGTCGGACGTCGTTCAGCCATCTTTGAATCTCGTCCCACAGGTGCTCAATGGGATTTAAATCGGGACGGAAGACGGGGCCACTGCATGGTTCTGATGCCATTCTGCTGGAGAAAGTCTCTTGTTACACTCGCATTGTGGGCACGGGCGTTATCATGCTGAAACTCGCGGTTGCGGCGACGTGCTAAAGGAGGTATGGCGTGTGGCCTCAAGACTTGATCAATGTACAGCTGCTGTGACACCATTGCTTGTCCCTGGACCGATGTTGTGGAAGACCACAGGGCCGACCCTCTGTGCAAGATCAATTCCACCCCACACCATGATGCTCGGACCGCCCCACGAGTCACTCTCAACACAAGCATCCGAATAATGTTCCCCACGGCGTCGCCAGACTCTCCCTCTGTCATCTGCTGTTGAGATACAGTAACGGCTCTCGTCTGAGAAGAGGACACTTCTCCACTGCTGGTGGCCCCAATGCTGGTGCTGTTGCCCACTGAAGACGGTCCCGGCGATGACGTGTCAGAATGGGTTCTCGGTGAGGCCTGTGACAGTGGAGGTGTCTGCTCGTCAATCGTCGACGCACGGTGTCAGCACTATGTCGCTGGTGTCCCCATGGTCTGTCGAGCAGTTTCCGCAGCGGTAACAAAGCGATCTTGAAGATGCTGTCGCACAATCTGACTATCCTGACGTCTTCCACATCGTGGTCGGTCATCTGTAGTGTTGCTGGTCTGGTACCGTTGCTCGGACTTGAAATGAATTGGCTAGTTGCCGGGTGGTATGTCCAGCTTGCAATCGTCCAAGAGCTTGGTGTCGCTGATTTCCGATCTAGGTGGATTTTTATAGGGCAAGAACGCATGTGCATTTCAATTTGCACGGAACTCGCATGCATCGGGTTACCATGGCCGTTGCTGTGATGCGTTTGGGCGATCGGTTTAACTGTGCTTTGTTATTTGGGTTTTTTTTATCATCAAATTCAATTTTCCGGACAAGGAAATGCTAAATCTTAGTAACTTTGACAAAAATTACCCAGATATATAAATGACGTTTCATGCTATGTTACTTGGGTGACGTTTCTTTTGCGGTTCAGTATATATAAAATATTTCAAACATTTATTCGCAATAATAAAAGCGACAAACACTTTATTCATAGGAAATCTGTCAAAAGTAGTCGGTAGTACAATTCCGTCTGTCGTGAGCATGTTTATCCATCACTGTCAAATAGTGAGGTTCGCGAAAAGGTGAGCGTATCCTGCCCGACCCATCACAAACGCATGCAAAGACAAGCCAATTGTTCCACTGGGAAAACAAAACAGAAATATATGGTACAGGTGAAAATAGGGAATTGAATCGGACCATTTTTGTCAGCGATGCGTCAAACTGAGATAGCTTTACTGAAGCCTTGAATGTTGTAACTTGCTAAAACAACTTTTGAGCAAGAATCGTATGACGCTCTATGATATGTTGGTAGAAAGATGTTTGATTGTGAAATGTTGAGGAGCTGCTGTTATATTGCTCGACATAAAAGAACAGCTGAAGCCGTCAGTCTTGTGGAGAGTGTCATTCTGAATCGTCATGCATAGATCTAAATATGAAACGCCTGAGACGGTCTCGCTTGTTTCCTTATATCTAGTTCGGGTGGTAAATCGGTGGAAGGGAATTGGCTATTTGATCGTTATGGCATAACCGATATACCTGAAACTTGAGTTAAACTTGTTTTGAGCAGAAATTCCCACCCATATGCATAATTTTTGGTTTGGTTGGTTGTTTTACACCGCACACAGCAATATTCCAGCTATATGACGGCGTTCTGTAAATAATCGAGTCTGGACCAGACAATCCAGCGATTGCTATCATGAACCCCTATCCACGCAATTGGGATCGATGACATGCTTCAACCAAGACAGCGAGCCTGACCACCCACCATAGTCGCCTTTTACGGCAAGCATAGATTGCTGAAGACCTATTCCACCCCGGATCTTCACGGGTCCATATGCATAAGGAAACCGACAAGAAGGGGATCACAGTTGGGGCCCATCGGGATGCAATACTACGTCTTCCTCCAAATATGATAAAGATGTTATCAATGAGGTTGCCCAGAATTTCACATATTATTTCCTCAGTAAACTTCAGATAGCATTTGCTTCCACTTCTAACAAATTGATCTGAACCTCTGAAGCAGTAGGGGGCACGGGTGGCCCAGTCGTCTAAGGCGCCGCGATTTGCTGTTCAGAGTTGCGTCCCTTTGGCACGCCAGAAACTTATGATTGTGGATTCGAATACCGGTTCGCCCCGATTATGTTTTGTCATATAAATTGTGACTTGATTATTTAGACCGCCGTCATATAGGTGGATAATTGCTGACTGGCGAAAACCTAGAATCATCTGTTCGGTTGTCATGACATCAAGCTGACAGAAATTTGTGTTGCCCGTTTACAGGCCTCATTTGATGAGTAGTATTTAGGGGTTCTACTCCACGTTTGAGCCAACACTTATCGCCAATGCGAGTCTCTATTTCATGGTGTGGTGTTTTGGTCATAGCGCTAGTCTCAGTTAACATTTGTCATCTTCCCGAGGCAAGGGAGTTAGAACTAGGCTGAAGTTATGGAGTATATTTTGGCTGGACTAACGAGTCTTTGCATAGTTCAATCAAACTGGTGGAAAGAAATCGTTCATAAAAAGGCCTTGTAGATTTCGCTCGCTTGCAGCATTTGCAAAGCATGTGTACCACCAAAAAGGAGTTAACACATCTTTTCCAAATCTATAAATGGTTTTAATGAAGTTCGCTTGATTTGATGCACTTCGTTAAGTAAAACCCGTTTTATCACAACACACATTTTGATTATTGATCAGATCATCTTGACTGGGCGCCGCCATTTTGTTTGAAGCAAATGCAAGTGATATGAGAGATGGAATCAGATTGGTCAATAGGAGGGACATAGAAGGGACATAACTCGTAATAACCACAGGGGGCGCTGCGATTGAACCCAGAAATTCCAGTCTAGTTCAGTCAGGGTGGAAACTGGACTTTGACGGTCATTGAAGTAACTCCCCTGCCTCTTGAAGATGACATTTTTTTAAGAAGTCAATTAAATATATGTATGGCAGCACAGGATGATGTTTGTGTAAACGCCTATATCGCAGATTACTACTCATCACTCTTCATGTATTACTGCAGCATATGCAGTCGTCTAAGGCGCCGCGATTCGCTGTGCAGAGTTGCGTCACTTGGGCACGCCAGAAACCTATGACTATGGGTTCGAATCCCGGTTCGCCCCAATTATGCTTCTAGGTTTGTCAGCACCATACCCGTGCTCGTGGGTTTCACCAAAGTGGTAAATGTCTGAGACCTGCATCACTTCGGGCTTTCCTTCCACATTAAGCTGACACGCCGTGATATAACTGGAATACTGTTAAAAGCGGCGTTA